TTGTGTAAAATAACTAACATTTAAAAGAAAAAAAAAAAGAAGAAAAAAAACACGTGTGCGTCCGTATATGCGTGTGAGAACGAACGAAAAAAGGAAAACAGAGAGAGTCACGAGGGAAAAAAAAGAAACAGAGAGAGAGAGAGAGAGAGACAGGGAAGATACGTGTTACGGAGAGAATGCGTCCAGCGAGAATGCGTTACATTATCGCATATACATATATACATATACGATTTTACGTGTTAAGTAACCCACGCGGAAGCGAAAAAAAAAAAACGAGTTAAATATAGGATATCCATTTAGAAAATAAAATAGAGAGAAGACCGTTCGAACAACCGTAGCTCCAGTACGTGGAGTCCTCTGCTCCCCTTTACTCACCCCCCCCCCCTGGTACTGTTCGATCGTCCGATTAAATCGTTTATCAAATTTTCAATTCGAGAGAATACGGGATACTCTTTCTAGATGTATACTTATCCCTCGAGTTTTCTACACGTTAGAACGATGTTCTTGATCGTTTTGATATGTTCGACGATGATTCAGTGCTCCGACATGTCGTACAAGCGAAAGAGTTAAGCGTTTAAGTGAACAATTACCAACAGTGACAGTCGTTTAATCGAGGAGTATATCAAGCGAGGACATCGTTCTTGTCGTTATCGGTTTTTTTTTTTTTTTTTTTTTTTTTAACGATAAAAGATTTAATCGAGTCGATGGATTGACGTTTCGGTGAAAGAAGAACACGAGATCGAAAACAGATTCTCGTTCTCACGTCGATTGTACAGCCCCCCGAGTTTTTAGTTGTGTTCACTATATTGTATACAGTGGGATCAAATTACACGCGTTAGAATCGACTAATCTACGTAAACGTAATCGTCTCACGTTCAGGATGATGCACGTACCGTGTGCTAGCTAGCGTCGGTAACACGTGAGACGAGATATGCCTAAAAAAGCGTAAGCAAAAGTAAACAAAAAAAAAAATATATATATATATATATATTAAAGATATACTTC